AGGGGTGAAGAACCTTGGGTAAGGAGACATCTTTTTTTATATTTCTTTTCCCAAAAACATCAAGTTGCAAATCAGCTGCCCCCACTTGATATGGAAATTCACTGAATCCGACCACTCTCTCTCTAACATAATTAGGCATATATAATAAGTATAATGGCCTCAAGAAACCACTAATATATTCTTGTTTCAAAATACAGTGCAACCACCCCAAATCCATCCAAATCTCCCCAACCAAAAGTAGAGGCCAATTTCCCAAGAAAAATCAACGTCAACATTTTGAATACTTGACATTTCTTTTTCCAATACCAAATCTTGAACAATCTTTTTCTTTCTCTTCCATCATACGCACTATTTTTTGGTAAATACACCCAACACAACTCAAGTCCCAATTCTTGATATACTATTTGGTATTGCATTGGAAGATCAGAGAGAGAGGAACTGATATTGTTCTTGTGAAAAGCTACAAATTCTTACTTGGTGGTGCACATTTAGGAACCTGAATTTGAATTTTCAGCAGCTGCTTCAACGTAACATCCACAATCTTCTGCAGTTGTTGCCTTATTTTGTTCTTGAATTGGATTCTGTTTTCCTCCGCACTTTGGGGTTTTGAAGAGCCTAGTTCAACATTTGGGCTTGATACTGCATTCAAATGAACATGAGTGAAGAATCCGAAGCTAAAGTAAGATCATCAAAAGGCTTTTTCAATTTGGAACATCATCAGTATATGAACAACTCTGCTTCTGCTGCTACTTTCCCTAGAAAGAATATGAGTTTTGTTGAAGGAAAAAAGCTAGCAGAATATAGAAGATCCTTGTCTTGTCAAGCAGGGAATGGGAAAAAAGTGTTGTCAATTAGTTATTTCAGTTTGGAATCATTTCTTCTGCTCCTTTGCCTCACAGCATCATTGCTACTTTTGCCATTGATCCTTCCACCATTGCCACCTCCACCATTTATGCTGCTCTTACTTCCCATTTTAATTCTGCTTCTTCTAATGTTCTTGGCTTTTATGCCTTCTTCCAATCTTAGAAATGTTTCTTATACGTATGTCTCATCACCATAGATTTTTGGGTTACACAAATTAATTAATGAGTTCCTTTCATTTCTTATTTCTTTACCTAACCAGCAATATAATGTAGCCTTGCTTATTTACATCTTAGTTTGTAGGTTTTTTTTAAAACTGTTAGTACCAAATACTTTCTGCTTTCAGGCAATGTAATATGTATTGTAGTATATATTGAAGTATTGAATTTAATATATGTATCCTCTTCCATTTTGATCTCTATACTTTAAAGGCAGACCAACAACAAGTCTATATTTTGGGATGGTGAATGCTTAATTGCAATTGATCTAGTCTACTTTTATCGCAATCACATATTATTTTGAAGGATTCAAGATAACTTTTGTAACACCGAACACCACTGTAAGGAAGAATTCTTGTGTGCTTCTCTCCATAAACTTCTTATCAAGTTTTGAGGATATATATATATATATATATATATATATCTACTTATTTATTCTCAAACATTCTGTCACTTTAAAAATATGTAAAAAAATTCTAGTTTCTTTTACTCTATTTTGTTTATGGATAAATGCAAGATAAAACAGTGTATAATAGATCCAACATAAGTCAATCATTCTCCTAACCATGACATTACAAGAGCTCTGGGCTATCTTTTCTTTCCGATTTTTAAGTATATCACATTTGTAAATAAATATTACTTTCCACTTAACTTAAAAAGATAAAATGAAGCTGACATAGCCTCAGCCTGGCAGTCAGTTGATGAATTTAGAAATATGAAGGCTATCAATAAAGCTATATATGATATATGGCTTGGAGAATTCTACTCAATCCGAATTAATTAATTCTATCAAGAATATTGAACAGTAAATATTTTTCAAATAACTCTTTCTACAGTATCCTCTTTTATGATGAAGAGTTGCCAATGGTGAAAATGTTTGTGTTTGGAAAATCCATGCATTCCTAATGTCGCGGGTCTTAGTGGTATAGGAGTGTTGTTCGTGGATTCCCAGATTTTTTTTTTACAAAGTCTATACACTTACGAGGTTAAAACCGGTCATTGAAAATATACAGTTGAATTTGTATACATGATTTATAGACACGTGGATTAAGATCAGAGGCGGATCTAGGATTTAATATTTTTGAGTTCCTGCAACAACTACGAGTAAATTTTCTATAGTAACTGGGTTCACATTCAAACATTTATAGATATTTAGTAAATTTTTCGAACACATTCACACTGTTTGGACAAAATCTATTGGGTTCACGTGAACCCGTAGGCCGGGAGGTGGATCCACCCCTGATTAAGATGATCTGATTAGTAAAGTGACAAAGAATTAAAAAAATAAAGATAATTTAGTAAAAAACAAGCCTAAAATTCATATTGATCCCACCGGAATCAAAGGTAATTAACCGGAAAGCTTTGATAACAGCCTTGTATAAAACTTAAGAACATAAGAGAAAGAAAGATAGCCTTTGTGATTCTTGTATTTAGTGTCCTTACAATGAGTACAAATATTATTATGTATAGTGAAATTTGAGGTGACAAGATACTTAAATCTCGCCCTCTTAAAGATGTATAAAATCTCCTCTTAATAGTTGCATAACGTTGGGAATAAATGCTGAAATTTTTCGTAACGACTGCTCCTTTAATGCTTTTTTCCTCCAACCGGTACCTTGCTTTCAAATTCTCTTCCCCGATCTTTGTGTCCTTGGAATTCGCTCAATACCGATCACATCTCTGTATCCGATATTAACTATCTGTTGACTCACCTCCATCCTGTCATTGTCACGTGTCTGCTCAAGAGACGTCCACCTGTAAATTCTAAATTTGACCCAAAATAATCATGTTGCAAAAAGCTTAAGCAAGCCATGGTGATAATTTGTGGTAACCTTGCATAATCTAGCAGCCACGCTTTTCCTAAAGCATTTTGGGATTTTTTTTGAGCAACGGGGAATCAAAAATAAACAAAAACTTTTCGTTAGAAGATGGGTGCTTTATAATGTATACATTAATAATCTAATTAGTAAAAGAATAAATCATGATAGTTGTTTGTAAGAGATGTGATTTAGATAGTCAAACTGTCGTACATATGTTTTCACATGTCCTGATTCTCAAAAACTATGGAAGATGAGCCCTATGAATTAACATTGCCTTGATAATGATGAATTTTCTTTATGGTGAAATGATAAGATCAAAATAGCAAAAGATTGTTCTAATTCTGTTAATGTGCTAAATTTGAGTGTAAAGATAATGTGATATATTTTAGTGTACAGATAATGTGACATATTTTGAAGTGTAGAAATCTTGGATGTTATAATATGAATTAATTGAACCTCCAAATAGTGTGGCAAAGGCTTTATTTTACTATAATGAGATTCTCGAAAACATACTTGCTAATTCTCCGAATGGGAATTTACATAATAAGTAGGAATTTCTTGAAAAAAACTTGCTAATGCACCGAATGGCCATTTACATAATAATTATGAGTTCTCATTAACGTGCTTATTTATTGATGCAACACTACATGTTGATACGAAGAAGGAAAGTATTTGAGTTAGTTGCTATATGGATGTAAATGGTACTCTACTTCATGCCCATAGATCCCCGATTTAGTTGCGGGAGGAAACTACATATCTTCTCTAGTGCGACAAGTGTAGCAAATATGTCAAAGAGAAGGCTACTTTGGATGCGCATGTTGCTTGTGAAGATATTTGGAACATGTTTTCTTATTTGGACCAAGTTATATTCCTAAAACTTTTACTTGCATCTCTCAAAGGTTCATGCGTTTTGGTACAAGGAATCTCTTGCAAAATGATGTACGTTTCTTTGGGCATATCATGTCCTCAATGACTTAATAGAAGTCTTGATTCGGAGAAATAAATAAATCTAGAGGCCATCCACTTAATGGACTACTCTTTGAGACAAGATCAAAGACAAAACCACCAGGGAACTAACTAATATATAATGCCCATTTGAGTTACCAACCCTTCTGAATATGGTTCCCTCTGCTTACATATCATCAACATACACATTCAAGGAAGCATTTTTCAGAATTCCGCGCAGATATATAACTAAGCCAACAAAGTTCTACCTACATGTTCAATAAGAAAATTGACCAACTATGGAGGCTTCTTCCTTTTTTCCAACCCAACTATTTGTGTTATTATACTTTGTGACGGGAGAGAGAGAGAAAGGGGAGATGTGAAATTTTCAAAACTTAGAATGTGTAGTATGATGCTAATTATAAGATCCATTTAGCAAAAAAGGAGGAAGATGATGCTCTAAGACAGCCAATAGTTCTTTCCCTTGGTTTGCCTCGTCCAGTATTACGCCGCCAAGCCTTTTGGCTGCTTCCACGAGCTGTCCCCTAAGTTTTTGAGGTAGCAGATAGCCCCCTGCCTTAACACTTTCTCTATACAGTGGCAGGTATGCTATTGCTACCCTCAAGGGCCCAGGAAGATCCTTCAGACAGATGGGAGATTCACCCCATTTCACAATACGCACAAGGTTTAAGTAGTGTTCTTGTCCTTGCCTAAGCCCATCAAAGAAAGCAGCTTCCGACCAATGTTCCTGAAGGAAACTCTTAAGATTGGGAGTCACAGCATCATCATCATCATCAGATTTAGCAATACTGTCGGCAACAGCATAAGTAGCAACAGGGTCACCAAGGAAGTCTGAACGCAGAAGAAACGCTACCCCATCAAGAGACCCGCCGCTTCTTTCACCAGCAGCCTTAAGAATCTCGATGCTGAGGGCAGCAAGAATATGCTGCGGAACGTGCGGAAGGAGATATGCAGCAACTTCAACCTGACAACTGGAGGTCGCAGCTGTGAGGGCTAGACATAGTTCCATGTCTCTGCATCCCCTTTTGACGAACCACTCGACAACCTGCAGGGATCCCCTCTCAGCAGCTCTCATCAGAGGGCCCAAGAAAGCCATTGCATTCCCCTCTTCCACCAAACATTCCATAGTTCCGATTTTACCATAATGGGAAGCAAATCCCAAAGCCAGGTCAACATCAACATCCAAGCTGTTCCTTTGAGCAATCTACAAGAGAACCAAAACAACCAAAAGATGAGAATGACAGACCACTTTCCCTCCGAATACATTGGAAAAGAACACAGCAAAAAAAAGTTAAGAGAAATATAAAAGAAAAACGCATCCTCCAAATTCATGTCCACCAATCGAAAATACTGAAATCAAGCATAATGAGCAACATAAATACTAAGACAGATCAGTGTATGACACAAACCCAATTAGACCACCATCCATAGCATTCAAAACCAGGATAACGACAAAGAACTTCAAACATTTAATGACTAACTGCAATCCCCACCAACAATCATGGTATGCAAATAGTGAATCTCTCATGCCAATCATGAAACACCAAATGATCCTTATCACAGTCTCCAACTCCAGACAAGACTGCACTTGAGTGTAGTTTGCAAACATAAAGAAACAAAGATAGTAATTGGATATTATAATTTGAAGCCTGCAGTTCCACTCCCTTCTCTTTTGCTAACTCACATGAACTCCGAAATTGAAAGGACTAGGCCCTTCATTCCGTTTTCCCCTTTTTTACTTTTGAAAAGGGAAAATAGTGTCACTACGCCAGTACACAAGTTAGTGCGGGCCTGCGGGGTTATTTTGAAAAGGGATGACCTATTATTTCCATGAATAATATGTGAGGATTTACAATCATATAGATGGTAGTACCTAATTTGTTACCTTGCTTTTACGCTTTTCTTTTGTCTGGTAAACAGCATGATGTCCAATATTAACAGAGGTATGCACTCAACCGTCTTGCAAGATGTGAAGCAGGAAGAACATTGAATTTATCCCTAAATGTTAGGCTTCTGAAACCATGTTGCATTCTTCATAGAGAGAAAGAGGAATTGCTGCTGGTATTGGCTAACGAAGGGTAGCTTCACAAGACAAGGATAATGAAGCCACTACATAGGGCCACTCAATCAGGAGCAAACCACTTTGACACCACCCAAAAGTGTGTCCAACAATGAAAACTGTCAAACTGATAGGAACTAAATCGTAAATTTTAACTTCTTCGTCCAGGGATACAAGACAATTTTCCAAGAAATCCATTGGGTCAATTTGTCATGAAAATATGAAATTTGAGACAACCAAAATACTCTGATGTTCACAATTATATCAAGTTTTCCAATTTCCTCCTCCTTCCTTTTTTCCAGTTAAAATTGATTGGTAAGACTTGACACCTAGATTTAGGTGATTAGTATCAAGCAAAGCTTTTTTTGGCAAGTACCATACTACATCCTTTTGTAACCACTCAGTAGTTTAAATGCTTTCCTGATCTTTGTTGTTATGTTGAATTATCGTAACTTATCATTTGTATCCTTTGAACCTTCCGATTTGGTAGAAAATGTCCTCCACGTCTTTTGTTTTGATGGTCCTAAATGTTTCTTCACAGTATAAAATGCCATATACCAGAAAATCCAATTATGTGTACTACCCAACTTGAACTCCCCTTCTATTCAATTTTTTTCTGTGTTCATGCTAGCCTTTGTTCTAACAGTTGCTATGCTACATACTTTACAAGAGAGAGAGAGAGAGAGAGAGAGAGAGAGNATTAGGCTACGGTAGAATACACCTAGTCACACAACTGGACACACCTTTTGCTCCTTAATATTATTGAAGATATGAAGTGAAAAACTGGAAGGATATCTATAATATATCCATTGACCTAAATAAATCATAAGAGAAGTGCTTTAGTAAATGCTTGAGAAAGAAAGGAATTCATATAAAATATTAGTAAAATACATATGTAAAAAGAAGGATATGGAGAAAATGGTCGCAAATTTGAGAACTGTGAAAGGCGATGCAGTGGACGAAAATTAAGGAACTACACCAGAGATCTACCTTTGAGTCATACTTGCTTACGCTAACTATAGAAGAGTAACCAATAGTATACAGGTCCCATGGTGCACGCTATTTACAGATGATATTGTGGTGATTGAAAAAACTAGCAAGGGAATCAATCTAAATTGGGAACTACAGAAAAACACTCCAGAGAGCAGTGGTTATTGATTTTCAGATAAGTAAAAGTAAGACATGATATATGCACCACAAATTTAGCCCCCGTGAAGATTGTAAAGTGAAATTATATGGAATTTTGGTGCCTAAATGTAAACAATATAGACATCTAGAGTCTAGACTTATTCTTCCAAGTGAATGGCATGATACATAAAATGGAACAGAAAGAATTAAAATAGCATGGTAGATACGGAAAAGTGCTAAGGAAGTGCTATGTAAAACAAATATATCTAATAAAGTAAAAGACTATTCTATTGAACACTAGCGAAACTAGCAGTGATCTAAGGCCCAACATACGCGCAAGATTCATGCCATAAAAATGCAGATATTAAATGAATATACAATCTTACAAGATTGAATAAAATTATAAATGATAACATCCAACTGATAGTGCAAGTAGCACACAGAAAGGATAAAAAGAGAGTATTCTAAGATGGTTTGTCCTTATCCTAGGTATTACCGTTTATAGCCTGTAGGTGCGTATGATGATTGAAAACAAAAGGGGATGAGAATTGAGATAGACCTAAGATCACATGGAGCTAAGTTGTCTTGCAAAACCAGCAAACTCTTGAAGCATGCAACAGTGCAAACTTAGCTAAGAACAAAACATAATAGAACCAAAAGAATCTATATTAAACGATATAAACAATTGAGATTAAAGCTTAGTTGTTTCAACACCTACATTAGGCTAGTGTTTGTCAGTAGCCTTTATTCTGCTCAGAGACTTCTATGTCCATGTAATTGATAAATATAGAGAAACTCTACTTTTAAAGAACCTTTATTTTTCTTAAGAGATAAATTAATCAGTATGAAATGAAATGAACCTGAAAAGAGCAGAATGGATACAAAACATTCATATAGTTGGACTCTACTAATTTGAGGTTGAGTCATAGTTGATTAATATAGAGTCAAATTAAAATGTCTCGTCAAATAATTAAAGGTTGAAATTTGACACAAGTTATTATGTGATGATTTACATGCACTTCACCAATCAAGTGATGATTACAGTTAAGAAATCTACAGACCAAGTGAAAGGCCTACACTTTCAAAAATTAGGAAGTCTATAATATGTCCACTTATTCACTTGGATAAGGAAATTTTTTAGCTTCTAATATCGGAACATTCTTTTCTTTCTGACAAGTGTTTCTCCATTTTTTCTTAATCATCTATATGTTGTATTCACCACGCTTACAGTGTCATATAGCATTTTCTTATGGATAACACATTGTAGCAGTTCTTCACTTTACACCTTGGGTCGCTAAAGGTAAAACACTCCCGCCTCATGCTTTACATCTCCGCCTTCAAGACAATGGAACTAGCAGAGAAAACTAACAGTTCGAAGTTGCAATCTATTATCTTACAGCATAGTGCCCCCAATTTACGAGGTTCAATGGCCTTTTTGTTCCAGTGGGTGAATTCATCACAAAGCACTAACGCAGTGTAGCAACACCTAACATCCCAAAAGCAACAGTTTCTAAGAAGAGGAGTATGCTGAGAACCACACACACACACAGAGAAAAAATTATACGTATAATGGCTAGAAACATTAAGGTGTATTCACCGGTATTCTTTTGACAAACATGTGCACTAAAGTGAAAAACAGATGTTAAGGTTTTGGCCTGGTCCTTCTTAGCCTCCAGAACCCAGAACAATTTCCCAATTTTCTGCCTTTTATTCTGTTACAGACAATAGTAGAATTAACAAGTTTTCATGCAAAAAGTTATTTTTATTAAGGGCCAATAGGGCACTAACCTTTTTTTTTTTTAATAAATAGCACGACCAAAGTAGTTTCAACCTAAGTGTCCCAGCAAGCTAGACAGTCCTAGGTGTCTACTTTCCCTGGCGGGGAAGTAAAGCAAGATCCATTATAAGCATTTCTCGTTGAGATTTCGATTGTGTTTTAAGGTTCATATGCATTTTCTTTTATTTATTTACTTTTTTGTATCTACTTATCAAAGTGAAATTTGAACAGATAGAAAACACTAACAGTGTTTTGTAAGCCCAACCCAAAAACTAAGGCTGAGAATAACAAAAAAGCAAACAGAACATCCATGACAGGTGAAACATCATTACAAAGACAGTCACCAAGGAGAATCTTTAGAAAGTACAAATCTGAAAAAGGGGATCGATGCATGCTTCTAAACATAAAAGTCAAAGCATAAAACTCCAAAATCCAAATATATATCAATATACCTGCAAAAGAATGCGGACCAGCTCTGTGCTCCCAAAACGCGATGCTTCAAGAAAGCACTGATTGACATTGTCCGCACCCCCTTCCACCAACATGCCGAGCAATCCTTGAATTGCAGTAGCTGAAACTCCTGATGCCCAGCCAGTATCAAATGAACTAGAGAAGAGTGTAAGCGGAAAGCAAGCTGCATCAAATGCTTCTGTGAAGTCCTTTCCAGTAAGGTGGTTCCCAGCAAGATCCAGAAATGTTTTGAAAGCTGATAACTGCAGTTGTATTTCAATGGCAGAGTTATGCCCAACCCTATACCTCTTTCCTTGGCAGCGGGAATGGTAACCTATACATTTAAGAGCCCATTCAGTGAACTTCTGAACCTTAGCACCAGCTTCAACCTTCAAAACTTCATCTCCATTGCATTCTTGCAGTCGTTCATGCAACCTGCTGAGAGTGGTGGTAAATATGTTAGTGCCACAAACATCTATAAAATAAGACATCAAGGGAAAACGAAAGAAAAACGTTACTTGACCTTGCAGATTATACCAAGGAAATTCCTATACATGAAGAATAAACTTTTCAAACTTTATGTTATCCTATGTATTAATTTTGACATCCTATGGATAATAGCAACAAACCAGCAAATGTAGAAAGCTTGTTTGTTTATTTCAATAACAAGAAAATTCAGGTTCTTCATGCGTACATTTTAGCAAATGGTCTAAAAGAGGATTTTCAGCATATAGATTAAATAACTCAAACAAGAATTCCACGGGTTGTTGGAAGCTGAGACACATGCTTCTTTTATATGACTATTGGAGAAAATTACAGAAAAACTATGTCAGAGCTATGTATACACGTTGGCCAATATCTGGGATGGAAGAAGTCGGATTTCAAATAATCTGCTACACTGCACTGGAATCCTACTATTTTGACTAGACATGTATAGTTCAGATATGGGGAAAACATTCAACAGCAAATTAAAGACCTTCTCTACTATTCTTTTAAGCATTCAAATATGGGCAAAAGCACTGACCTTTGTGCCATTACAGTGACAGTATTTGCAAGGCTCATTGTTTGACTCTGGCACGCAGAAACACAAGAAGCAAGAAATGAAGTCCTTAGGACAGCCCGAGTGAAGTCATATGCACCATTACCAATAATCATCTTAATCAAACCCGTTATCCCATGCAACTCCTCTTGACTAGTTAGAAACCAGATTGAATCCAAAGCAATGCATAAAGCATCATTCAGAGTTTGGGGATCAGCGAGTAGGATCAAACTCTCTGCCAGCTCCCAATCATGGCCGCTCACAGCACCCTGGAACAATCGCCCCAACTCAATCCTATCTTGTCTGCTAAGCTTTTTTTCAGGACCCAGTTTCTCATTTTCTGAATCAGAATTTTCTAGCCTTGATTTAATCTTATTGACTCCACAACTACAGCCTCCTGCTATTAAGTCCTTATTATGTACAAGTGGAGCTTCTCTTGAAAATACCACTTTCCCATTGCTTCCCTCACCTCTCACTTGTACAGTTTCCACTGAACAAATAGTCTCTTCTTCACTAATGTTGAAAGCTGCCTTATCTTCTTCCATATTAACAATTCAACACCCAAAACTGATCAAATACCTCAAAAATCAATTCCTTCCATCTAAGAATCCATCAAAAACTCAAATTTAAGCAAATTTCAGCACACCCCTGAAACAAAAAAGCCCCAAAATTCAAAACAACAAGAGATCAAAAACCCATCAAATTGCAGAACTAAAACCCTTCAACAATTAACAAATTATTTTTTTATGAAACATATCTACCAGCAGACCTACAAGGCAAAAGAATCTCATCAGCTACAGAAAAAGAAAAGAATAAAGAACAGCAGAAAACAAAAATTCAACAGAAAAATGAAAGCATAGGGAGAATCAGCTTACATAAGAAAAGGAAAAAAGGGAAATATTTCAAGAAAAGAATAGAGTGAAAATTATTATGGAAGTGAAAGTGAAAGAAAGAGAGGAAACAAACCTGATATTATTATTTTTTATGATTATTGGTGGGGGAGAAATAGAGAAACCACTTTGCCTCTTCTTTGCCTTTGATGGTTACTGGGTTACGAGTATTTTGCCTTTCTCCAAATATTATGCTCCTTTCACACTCTCTTTTTTCATTTGTTTATTTTATATTCTTTTTTCCCAACAAGTTTTCATTTGTTTCTGGGGAAATTTTACTTTTGGTCCTTCTTCAATGAATTTTAATTTATTATCAAGATTGTTGTGGGTGATTAGTACTTCTTCGATAAGTCTAATGAGACAAAGCTTTGAAAATAAAATTGCCTTTAATATGGAGCGTTTTACTTTTTAAATCGTCTGAACTAGTCATTAGTCGGGGCCCAAAAAGAATATCGGATATTAGGCGTGTTCATAAAACCCGAAAAACTGAATCAAATCAAACCAATCAAAAAACTAATACTTTTTTAGTTTGGTTTGGTTTTGATTTTGAATTTTAAAAATCGAACAAATATGATTTTGTTTTGGTTTTAATAAAAAAATAACCGAAAAAATCAAACCAAACCGACTATAGAAGTAGCTATTTAAAATTTATTATTATAACTATATATATGTATATTTTTATACAAAGTTTCTAAAATTTTATGGTACATGTTAATCGTTTGCACTTTTAGTCTAATTCTTTGCTATTATAATAATTTACTTTTTTTGCCTTTATATTCTAGTTGTAGTTTTCTTTTGCTAATTACTAGAATTTATTTCATGTTAAAAAATAATCTATTTTTAGTTGAGTCCTTAAATTATTCATTACTATTTGATTCAGTTCATCAGTATATCTAGGTAAATGATAGATTTCTCAAATAGCAATTGGTTTGATAGTATTATGTTGAAATGTAGTCACCGAAATATTTATTTGATAGTGTATGTCTCATCTTTAAGAAAAAATCGATAAAAACCGACATAAATCGAATCGATAAAAACTCAACTTAATTGATTTGGTGTGGTTCCAATAGTTGAAAAATTGACTTGCATAATTTGGTTCCTTTTTAGGAAAACACCGATCCAAATCGAACTATGAACACCTCTATCTAATATCAAGTGAGAAACAAAAAAAATTGATCTTCATTCTTTCAATATCTAAGTATTTACCTATTAATTAATTGATGTATGTGCTTTTTGTTCCTTTATATAAAACTATTATATATTGACAATAATAAAATGCATGGGTAGATAATTCTTTTAACAATTATCAATGTTTATTTTTTCTTCGTTAAAGGTAGATATTATATTAATGCATAGAATAAACAAGTTGAGCAAAGGTGCTCATAGCATCCTTTGCGGTCCAACTTGGGAAAAATACTTCCCTCAACAAAGTAATAAGAAACTTAAGCTAAATTATGTACTAATTTGTTTAGACTTCTAGGAATATAAACAAAATCCACATGATCTAGCAAAGCAGATGTCACGACTCAAAATCCTAACTTGTCGTGATGGCACCTAACACACTTGCTAGACAAGCCGACAACCACATAATAACTAATCATTTGAATAAAATACGTTTTAATAAACAAAATAACGGAAAATCTCATAAATATCTTATAAAATAACTGAAATGCTATTACAACCACCCTAAACTCTGGCGTCAACGAGTACATGAGCACTACAACATCTCAATATAAAACAAACTCTAGTACAACCATTTGAGTAGTAGAACAGTACTGAAGAAAATAAAAGGAAGGAGAATCAAGGCCTGCGGGCGCCATAGCAGCTACCTCAAAGTCTCCGAGCAGGTACTAGCACCAATTTAGCAATTACCGCGTCCAAATGTACCTGGATCTGCACACGAAGTGCAGAGTATAGTATGAGTACAACTGACCCAATGTACTCAATAAGTAATAGGACTAACCTTGGGTTGAAAGCAGTGACGAGCTCAGAAGGATATAGTCAGAACCAATATAATGTCAACACATGTAAGGTATTGACAATGATAATAAATAACTCAGAAAATCTTTCACATTCAGCTCGTTCACGGTACAAAAATTTAGACATGCTTTTAAGTTCATAATTAAAGACCAACACTAATAAGAACATGTCAAGTATATGTAGCATGAGGAATGGTACATCTCTATGCCTACATGTCAAATATGCATGTCAAATGTAAGGTATCACGGTGATATTCCTAGGTACTCACACTCTCATAGTACTAAATCTGTCTATCTCAAATACCCACTCATCACACACACACAATCACTCAGCACTGTACGAGTGTCTGGCATCAATACCCCTTACCAAAGCACGTGTATATATATTATTGTGCCTGCGCTCATTGCTGGTGTGTTAGACTCCGGAGGGGTGGATCCTACCCAAGCGCTAATATAAAGCCTATAAGGCCTGCTGCGGCGTGCAGCCCAATCCACAATAATAACTAAGCCAATAAGGTCTGCTGCGGCGTGCAACCCGATCTACAATAACACTTACAACTCGGCTCTCAGGCCCAACTCAGTCATCAATCTCTCAAGTCTCCAGGGCTCAAAATCTCATACTACTCAGTCCAAACAATAAGAACATGTAATGTAACAGTAAATGATAATGGAGACTGAGATATGATATGAAAATGAAGGATAATGACTGAGCACATAAATGCAGTTAAAGCAGATAACTCAAAACAACAGAAATAACCTCACTAGGCCTCAACAGAATAAACACATAACCTAAACATGTTTTCTAACATGAATTACAGTTCAATTACTCTAAGAAGTAAGGATTTTACGAATAGAACAAGACTTGATAACAACACAGTCTAAAATAATCAACCGAATCACGATTACCACGGTGCATGCCCACACGCCCGTCACCTAGCATGTGTGTCACCCTAACACAAACCATATAACACATTTTGCATGGATTTATACCCTCAGTTCCAAGTTTAGAAGTGTTACTTACCTCAAAACGCGCAAATCACAATTCCAACAAGCCCTTCCCATGCGTATCGGCCTCCAAACAACTTGAATCTAGTCACAAACAACTCAATATCAACAAATAATGTCGTAGGAAACAACTTCAAACAATAAAGTTTTGATCTTGATTAAAATCAAAAAGTCAACCCCGGGCTCGCACCTCGGAATCTGACAAAATTCATAAATTTCAGACACCCATTCGATTGCGAGTCCAACCATACTAAAATCATCCAATTCCGACCTAAAATTGATTTTCAAACCTCTATTTTTCATTTTTGAAAAGTTTCCATAAAATCTCCCATTTCTTCACTTTAATTCACTAAATAAATGACACAAAACAAGGACGGAATCATGATAAATGAACAAATCTGAGTCAAAACACTTACCTCGATCCAAAACGTGAGAATCCCCTCCAAAATTGTCCAAAACCGAGCTCTACAACCCAAAATGTGAAAATAATACTCTAACCCTCGATTTGGGTTTTAAACTTTCTGCCCAGGTGCTCCTCTTCGTGAACGCGAAAAATGCCTCGCATTCGCGAAGCACAAAAATTTCCACCTGATGAAACCTCTTACACGAACGCGACTGCCCAGTCGCGAACACGATGACCAAACACCATAAAGCTTCGCGATCGCGGTCCAGCCACTACGATCGCGATGAATAAACACCCGAGCCCTACCTCCCTTCTACGCGAACGCGACACAACCAACCTCAACCTTCTCGAATGTGTCTCCTCTCTTGCGAGCGCGAAGTACAAATTCCACCAGTCACCAAAAGACCTTTCACGATCACGACACTTCCCTTACGAACGCGTATAAGGAAACAGATACCGGAAAATCAATAGTCCAACAAGTCTAAAATGAAGTCGAATTTGGTCCGAACCACATCTGAGGCCCCCGGGAACCCGTCCAAACATGCCAATAGGTCCTAAAACACGATAAGAACTTGGTCGAAGCCTCAAATCATATCAAACAACATCGAAATCATGAATCACGCCCCAATTCAAGCCTAATGAAACTAATAAACTTTCAACTTCTAAAACTAATGCCGAAACATATCAAACCAGCACCAATTGACCTTAGATTTTGCACACAAGTCATAAATGACACAACAGACCTATTCCAACTCCCGGAACCAAAATCCGAACCTGATATCAACAAAGTTTAAACTTCTCAACCTTCTAAACCTTTAACTTTCTAACTTTTGCCAATTCAAGCCAAAACAACCTACGGACCTCCAAATCAATATCTGAATATACTCCTAAGTACAAAATCATCATACAAAGATATCGGAACCATCAAAACTTTATTCCGGAGTCGTCTACATAAAATTTAAACTCTGGTCAACTCTTTCAACTTAAGCTTCCAACCTTAGGACTAAGTATCCCAATTCACTCTGAAATATCCCCAGAACCAAACCAAACAACCCAGCAAGTCACATAACAACAAATGAACATACAAAAAGCGATAAATGGGGAAACGAGGCTATAATAATCAAAAAGACCAGCCGAGTCGTTACATTCTCCCCCTCTTAAGCAAATGTTCGCCCTCGAACGGGTCTAGAATCATACCTGGAGTTTCAAATACGTGTGGATATCTGCTCCGCATCTCCCGCTCAGTCTCCCAAGTAGCCTCCTCGACTGGATGGCCTCTCCATACTTCACATGCTGACAGTTCGAGTACCGATCCACATACTCTACTATATATTTCTTAATTCTCCTCCACCAATAGTGCTGCTTCGAGCACCGATCCACATACTCTACTATATTTTTCTTCATTCTCCTCCACCAATAGTGCTGCCTCAAGTCCTGATACATCTTCACGGTACCTGAATGAATGGAATACCGCAAATTGTGGGCCTCCTCAAGAATTAACTCACGCCACCCATCTACATTAGGCACACAAATCCGACCCTATATTTGTAACACCCCATCATCTCCAATAGAAATCTCCTTGGCATTACCGTGTTGCACCGTGTCCTTAAGGACAAGCAAATAGGGGTCGTCATACTGACGCTCTTTGATGTGCTCATACAAAGAAGACCGAGAAACCACGCAAACAAGAAACCGACTAGGTTCCGAAACATCTAACCTCACGAACTGGTTGGTCTCTTACCAACTGGAATGTAACAACCCAAATTTGCGTACCTTAGATCACGCCTTAAGTTAGTCGACGTAAATCCAAG